GAAGGGGTCCCCCAGCAACTGAAGGGTACCCAAAGGGGCCAAATTCAGTACATTTCCTGAGTAAATTCTTTAGGGTATCCAGCCCCCAAATGGCCCAAAAAGGGTGTTCTTGGTGCCCATGCTGCCATCTGGAGCGGTCTGAGGGTACATCACAAGTGATTTGCTCACAGTTTTTTCTTTTTCTTTTTGGATTCCATGCAGACCACCATTCACAAACTGCTACCACCCACATGAAGTTGTTCAATTTTTTAATGTAAGCAATATTTTTTTTTTCACCCTTGCAATGCTGAAAAGATTTGACGCTGACTTCTACTTGTGGTTGGTTGTGAAGACCATTTCTACGGAAGAACATAAGTGATTTTGCTTTCATTTGTCTTTAGGTGCTTATTCCATCCAGCTGACAAATATGCTTCAAATTTGAGACAGGTCTACCCATCTGGGTTTGAAACCAAACAAAAGGTGCCACATCAAAGCACTCCTCAAAGATATCAAGGCGGACTATGAGAACTCAGACAATGAGGATAACATCAATCGTACAGAGGTACCTGAAGAAAAACAGGTTTTATAATTGAAACTAGAACCAAAACACGATAGTTGTGTTTGAAAGGAATCAGAACAGACAGACTGAGATAAAGTAGATCAAAGAGAGACAGATAGTACATGCAAATTGGCAATAGCCAAGAGACGATTTTGAGAGAGAGAGTCGGAGCAATTAGAATGGGTGAAGATCAATATGAATAGAAGTCGAGGTGGAGTCGATATCGATAGGATTGTTCAATGAGAGAGAAGAGAGACAAGAGATAGATGAGAAAGGAGAAAAGGATACGAGGTCGGAAGGGGAAGTTGAAGAGTGGGTTGTAGTGGTGAATGCCGGGCAGTTTGGCTGATTGAGGATTGTGGATTGAGATCGAAGATCGATGACTGTCGTCGGATGCGATAGTGTAAGACTGCCTGTGGGAGAAAGTGAAGGATCGAGGGAGCGAGAGTATTTAAGTTGTTCAATGTTTGGTTGACTTGTGGGTTAGGTCTTGAGATGAATCGGTGTTGAGGCTTGAGTTGTGGTTGATGTATGAGACGAGTATGAGGATAGGATAGGGAAGGAATGATTGGAACAATTAGGAAGAGAGAAAAGCGGAAGAGAGAGAATAGAGAGAGAAAAGAAAAGATAAGAAACAGAGCACGGAGCAGATAGAAGAATGAGAGCGCGGTGCGGAGAAGAAAGAAAGAGAGCGCAGAGCGGAAGCGGAAAGCGTTGAATTGGGATAATTCCAACAGTACCCAACATCCGCAGGTCACCAATGGCCCCTGTGAGTGAGGACACCCCTCCTGCTCCCATGCAAACAGGCCAAGCCCGAGCTATTTGCACTCCCGCAGCATCCACAAAGAGTACTGAGCAAGACCTGGACCCACACCGCGAGTCTGCTAACAATCCTCATACACCATCTCCTACCCTGTGTAAAAACGATTTTTTCTCACTCCCGAACCCCATTGGCACCCCTTGGACCACCTGCCCCACCTTTGGTCAATTTTCCTCGGCAAGTGCAACAGCCACGGTTGATATGCAACCAAGAGAAAACTCAGACAAATCAGGAAGGACACTGAACTCCTTGGGACAGTGTGTTTTCCTCGCTGGAACAGGGAATCAATTGAGCAGAACTTTGCCCAATCAAACCCTTTGCCACGTCCAGCAGAGTTGCCCCCGGCGCCTGGCCTGAACACTGCACCTCCGTCCACATTATCCACATCTGCCCCTGCCCCATCTCTCCGGCCACACCCACAGAATCCGGTGATCCATGAGCCAACATCACGTCCATCAAAATACCGCTTTGCCACTGTACAACTCAAGGGTATGGATGATGATGTTGTGGGCAAAAGGGCACACCTCAAATCCCGGGGTTCAGATGAGGACGCTGATGGGAGTACCAATTACAGTGATGATGAATTGGATGAACCACCGGCTCAACAACCGGTCCCAGTGGTTCTAGACCATGGTCTGGGTCGCACACCCAATTTACTGTCTGGCCCAACTTTACCATCTGTGCAGGTCACTCAAGCTTCTTCTTTCATGCCTGCCTCAATGTTCAGGGACTATATCATCCCTCGGGGGCCACCAAAGGAGACTAGTTCCAACACAAGCCGGAATTCAGCACAGAGTCATACTCAAAGTTCTTTGGGTTCCACACCTTTGCGGGCTGCAAGGTCCCCATGTGAGTTGTTTCTTATTTGTATTGGGAGAATATTAGCTGATTTGGCCTGTTGTTGCTAGTGGTTGAGCTGTTTGTCCCTAGCCAAGTCCTTCCGGCGCAAGAGGTAACCCGTTGGAACACCGGATTATCAACTGGGATCCTGTGGTCAATTGAGTCAGCTGACCCAATTAATATTGTCACACCCCATGTTACCTGAAGAGGCCACTAGATCTCTTTGGATTGATTTGGGCCACACCCATGAGCTATGTGTGTCAGGTAAGAATTTTTCTGAACCTCTAAGATATAAATTGATTCCATCTATAACTGATCACAATGTTGTTTTCCACAGAGAAAATTTTGAAGACAGCAGGGGATTTTTCACTGATCACACCCGACATGGTCAACATGGACCAAATATCTCAGAAGGTTTTGGCACAAAATGGGTCACTTTGGCCCAAAAGCTGCATTCACGTCACTCCACAAAGGCCCACACATGACTTTATCAAACACAAACTCTTTGTTTGAATTGGGATCCAGTGTGCTCAAACAGAAAATTGACCTGGGGATCACTACACTGATACCTCATTCGACATTGGACAATCTTAGACTACTTTTCCTGAATTTCCTGATCAAAATGGGTTTCAACCAGTTTGACAAAGATGGTCTCCCAAAGGTGAATTGGAAAGATGTACATACTGCTTTCTACAATGACTTTTCTGCTTCCGTGATTGCCCAGATTTTTTCTCAAGACATTGAAATAGCTTTGGCCCACTGCCTGGTTTGATTGGGTGTGCCTTTGGGTTCTTTTGGCATGTTTTTTTGGTCTAAGTGCTGGCTGTTTATTTGATATTATTTTCTTCTTCATTTGGTTCTTTTGGTCTTCCATGTGCTTCTGCTGTTAATTTAGTTTGGAGTGGTGATACTCCTGTTAATTTCCCTGAATGTGGCCAGAGGCAAGTTCCTCCTCTGGAATTTGTGTCATTTCTGGTTATGCTTGTTGTCTTTGTCTCATGATTTTTGCTGTCTTGTATGCTCAATACTGACTCATAAAAGGTGCCTGACATGTGTAACTAAGGTTTGAGTGTCCTCAATTTGATATTAACCTGATTGTTTGTATTATTTGGTTGCACACAAGGGCATGGGCCCCAATCTTGCAGGTTGAGGTGAAACTTATAAGTAGTGGGTGAATTTTCAGATCACAAACATTAAATTCAAACGGTGGGAGAACATATTTGGGCTGTCCTTCAACATGCATGCTGTGGGAATTAAAATTTGAGCAGATACTAATTGAGGTTTATGTAGGCAGAAGAGTTGAGGTAGATATAGGAGCAGGGACAAAATGAGGTGAATATACACCCCTTCATTGGTCAAAATATGCAGGAGTCACAAAGTGTGAATATTAAGGCAGAATCAATTATAATTTTATGTGCAAAATTATTTTTATCAATCATCTGATGGGATCATAGGAGATTGGTTCTACAGATTGAGTGTCAGGCTCGGTGATGCCAAGACTACAGGTCTTCTAGCTAAACCGACTGATGGTTCTGGTTTGAGTAAGATTGGATTTGAAAAGGAAACCGAGGGGCCCAAGTTGTGGGGGTTTTTACGGTGCCCTCGGGGATACAAGCCTGAGTCTAATATGATGACTGGTGGCGGCTACAATGGGGTCTTGGAAAATGGCAAGGGTATTCGGTCCGCGTATCGGAGAATGGGGAGGTAGTTTAGTGACAAGGGAGCTTACTTACTTGAGTCAGAGTCCCCTCAAGTACAAAGCTATTCAAAGCTCAGGCGGCGGCGGATTCCAAAGGCAACGATGTCCTGTTAGATAGTGTTGAGAGTCTACACGTGGGGTCAAGGATGTTGTTCAATAGGTTGATGTTCCTGAGTGACGTTTATGAAGGAGAGCGAGAGGTTAGTATTGCGGTTTGAGAGTTTATTTACAAGGTGGTTCTGAAAAGAAAAGCAGATTCTTGATGCCCAATCTTCTCTGACCTGTACTGGATTTTATATTCATCGGGTCCAGCACCAATGGCATATGGAAAGCGGTTTCTTGTTTAGGGTCTGTCCAGTTTGTTTCCTTTGTCATGAGGTCATGACTAGAGATGCCAACCTTGACCATTACTCTTCAGAGTGTGACATCTGAGAAACAAGGTGTCACACCTCAAGGAATAGCGCTGGAGATGACGCAGGTCTGTTAATAAGGTATATTACTGCTGCAGAATCTCCGAAACTTACTCCTGATGCCTTTGACAATTGAATTGTATTTTTTCTTTACTCAATTATGGAATTTTTTTTAAATGTAATTAATGATTTTAATTATAAAAACTAAAACTAAATTTCTAAAAACAGGTCAGATTGTCCTGCTTTATCAGTGACAAGCTGACATTGAGGGAGGGCTTTATGGTTTCCAACCAGGGTTCAATTGGTTTGCCACGAGTGGTCCTGGGAAGCCCAGATACAGGAGGGTATGGGATGAGGCCTTGTTTGACATGGACCAGGATACAATGATTCCCATTGATTAAAGCAAGGAATATTGGCCATGGCGAATTGGACTCAGGGGGCTTGGTTGTTGGAATATAACTTATTGAGCCTGCGGGGGATACAAAGTCCACGGGCTTATTGGTCCTATGTCTACGTCACTCATCCACTTGTCCATGGGGACGTAACCTGCCTCCCAATCAACCATGAGTGATTGAGCAACTTGTTTGACCTTGTTTGAATTAAGCTCGTCAAGTAGTTTGGTCCGCACTTGATGCCACCCATCTGGTTTTCCATAGGGGCCATCAAGGTGAACTACTGCCAAATGATGTGCAACACACCGGTAACCACAGTTCCCATCGCCTGGGGGGTCATAAGTCAATTGGACATATTTTGAGATCCACAAGGGGAGCAGGGGTATGGTCGGCTTCTGTGTGGTTTGATAGACATGAATAGTAGGTAAAATGTCAGTTCATTGAATGATATGAGGCAAAATAAAGGGGGCCAACTCACCAGGACCCCAACCCTTTTGTGGAACCATTTTTGTTTTGCAGGCTTCTTGACCTCTGATGCCACTGGGGGGGGGCACTTCCCTGATTGGGTCCCAAAGCAATTTGAGACATAGTGGAAGGCCAGATAGTCAAACAGAAGATGAAGCTTACCGTTGGATGCTCCTGCTCAGCCTGGACATTTTTTGGATGCTCCACCTCAGTCTGGGCATTTTGGAGCTGGAATCACCCAATACCACAAGACAAAAAAAAATGAACCCCACAATATATAGCAAGTAGACAATGAAAAAACCAGTTATGTACAGACAGATGGGTTGCTGGAAAGGTGTCAGCATTCTGAGCATTGTTCATGGGTGGGTCTCCGGTGGTGTCACCCTGGGGAGTGCAGCCAAATAAGTTGGTTGGGGTTTGGCCACAATTCAGTTGCTCAATTATACCATGGCTGAATAATCCAAAAGTGTAGACTCACCTGAGGACCAGCTGGGACCATAGGTGTCATCCCCACATGCCCCTGGGGAAGTTCAGCCTGGGGGGCCGTTGAAAAGGATGTAGTGGGTCCCTGTGTAAGTCACCAGGTTCCGCCAATGTCAAAAGGGCACGTTTCAGCAGATCAATCATTCCAAAAATAAATATAAACCCACATGAGGATTATCAAGTACCCCGGGCACTGTTGGTATTGGTCCAATGTTTCCCTGTGGATCAGAAGTCTTGGGGACCTTGAAAATAGGATTGGGGTTTCCATGGGGAAGGTATTGAGTTCAGCCAATGTCCAATCATTGAAACCAACAGACAAAAAATCAAACACACCAGAGGGTAATCAAGGACCCCTGATTCTGAGGGGATCATGTTGACATTGCCCTGCCCCTCCGCGTTTGTGGACTCCTCATATGCCTCGGAAGCAACTCCCTCCTGATCAGACTCCTCATCAGACACTCCAGAGGATTCCAAAGATGTGTTATCACCGTCAGAGCTATCTGCAGCATCTCGTGGTCTTTTACCCCCAAGGTTCCCCAACCGTGAAGACCTGACTGGTTGTTTCCTTTTCCCAAGGACATTAGCTGGAGGCCTTGCATCAGTGCCATCCTTGCCTTTCGCAATTGATTCCAAACCTTTCTGAATAGCCCTTGCCCTCTTCAGCTTGGTGTGAGCAATTTTCCTTGTGACTTGCTTCTTGGTTTTTTGGGCCTTGTCAATTTCTTTGTCAACCACCTCGGCGTATATTGGATCATGTTTGGCCACTTGGCCTTGCCCGAGTTTCTTGCGTTTCTTGGAACCCTTTCTGCTTGACTTGTGTATTGGCTCAATAACAGGCGCAATTGGAACCACATGGGTGTTATACAACACCTGTTGGAACTTTTTCATCAGTCCTGGCAAAGTCACAGGCCCGTGGAGCGCCAATATTTCCGCTTTCAGGGCCTCATCATAATCCTTATCAAAGTCACACTTGTCTTCTTCATCCTGTTAATGTGGGGTGGCCAAATTCAACAGATATACAGTAGAACTTGTCCTAACCCATACTCGTCAAGACCCATAACCCCTCCAAACCCATAGAGACTTGGGGCTCCCAATTTGGGGCCAGCCAAAAAAGGGGTCTTAACCCATAAACCTGCCCTCCCCCGTAATCCATAGGACTTTGGTCTCCCAAACCAGAATTTTCCTGCTCAAACCCATACATTTTCCCAGTGGTACCACTGGACCGTGGGTCACGACAACACCTCTTTTGCAGATACCTGTCCAAAACCATACATTTTATGGGTCTTCAAAGGTTGCTTTGCAGATACCTGTCCAAAGCCATACATTTTATGGGTCCTCAAAGGTATGGGTTAGTGTATGGGTTATGAGGGGCAACTGGCATTACCCATCACCTGTCATAACCCATAGAAAATTCAATCCACCAATGGGTATGGGTTAGGACAAGTTCTACTGTAATGAGTAACAGCCCATCCTTTTTACAATACAGAAAATATCACCTACAGGATTATCTGGGTTGTAACGCAAGCTCCACTGAGGGTGGAAATCTGACAGTTGTACATCATTGCCCCTCTCCTTCTGAGGAATGAGTGCAAAGTATGCAAGGAGTCACTAAGGGGAAAAATATGCAAAAGAGGGGGAAAGAAAATATGACTAAATTATGTCTGGCAAAGTATGCAACGGTGGGCCGCTACACTAACCGTAGCGGTTAGTGTAGCGTAACGCAGCGAAATTGCTGTTAGCGCTTAGCGTAGCGTAG